TCCATAGGAGTTGATATTGGTTTGCAATTTTGCATACTGAACCTCTTCAGTAAGTCTACTGCGTATTTATGTTGATGCAAAAATATGCCTTCTTTACTACGATCAATTTCTAATCCAAGGAAATGGTTAAGTGGCCCAAGGTCCTTCATTTGGAAACGTACCGAAAGATTCTTCTTTGTTCTGAGAATTTCTTCTTCGGAATCGCCTGTTAAAATCAGGTCATCTACGTACACTAATACAATTGCAAGCTTTCCTCCAGCTACTTTGACAAATAAGCTAGAATCTGCATGTGCCACCGTATAGCCATTATAGAGAAGAAATTCAGAAATCTTTCCATACCAAGCTCTCGGTGACTGTTTAAGTCCGTAGAGAGCCTTCCGAAGCTTGCACACATATTCTGGATGATTTTGACTTTGAAATCCCATTGGTTGGCACATAAAAATCACCCGATCAAGCTCGCCATGCAAAAATGCATTCTTCACATCCATCTGCCAAAGACGCCAATCTTTACTTGCTGCAAGTGCAAGTAAGACTCGGGCAGTTGTAAGCTTAGCCACTGGACTAAATGTCTCATCATAGTCCAATTCGTATTGTTGAGAAAACCCACGAGCAACTAGGCGAGCCTTGTATCGTTCAATTGAGCCATCTGTGTGACGCTTAATCTTATAAACCCATTTGCAAGAAATAGGTCTGACATCTGTCGGTTTGGGTACAAGCTCCCAAGTTTGGTTTTGCTCTAGTGCAACTATCTCTTCTTCCATGGCTTTAATCCACTCAGGGCTTTGAGATGCCTCCTCATATGTCTTTGGCTCTTCAAACACCGGTTCCTCTACGATAGCAGCATTGGCATACCTGGGGTTTGCCTTCTTTATTCTTGTTGACCTTCTAGGTGGAGGTGGCATATTTGTTTCGTTGGACTCGTCTTCATTGCCTTCTGGTTGATACACACCTCTTTGCCTAGAATTCTGATTTCCATCAGCTTCGCTAGATCCACTCTCTTCTTCAATCTCCCCTGCCTTTAGATCTAGATAAACCGGGGACTCAAATAACTCTTTGAAGTTGCCTGAATCAGGGAGGACTTCTTTGTCTGAAGACCACCATGAAGAAGCTTTGTCAAATACCACATTTCGAGATGTGTGACACTTCCTGGTTACTGGATCACAACATCGCCACCCTTTTCTTTGGTTGTCATAGCCTACAAAAATGCATCTCACAGCTTTCTTTTCCATCTTTCCCCGTAAGTGATCAGGTATAAAGACATAGCATACACACCTAAACACTCGAAAATGACCAACTGCAGGTTTCATATTCCATATTTTCTCAAAAGGTGAAATGAAACCTAACCTCTGTTGGGGAAGTCTGTTGATCACAAATGCTGCAGTCTTCATTGCCTCAGCCCAAAACTGTCCAGGGACATTCTTTGCATGGAGCATACTGCGACATATTTCTGCAAGGTGTCGATTCTTCCTCTCTGCAACTCCGTTTTGCTGAGGTGTGCCAGAACATGTGAATTGTTGGCGTATCTTACATTCTAGTAGAAAATCTGAGAACTCATCAGAGGTATATTCTCCCCCATTGTCAGTGCGTAAGCAATGAACATTATTACCAATCTGAGCTTCTGCTTCCTTCTTGAATATTTTGAACTTTGATAGAGCCTCAGATTTGTTCATCATAAAATAAACCCACACATACCTTGAGAAGTCATCAATGAACGTCACCATGTACTTCATTCCACTAATGGAAGCCTGTTTGACTGGCCCAAACACATCAGAATGTATCAGCTCTAGTGGTTTCTTTGCTCTGGACTTGGAATCTTCAAATGGCAACTGATGTGCTTTTCCATATTGACACCCCGCACATACAGTGTCAGTTCTCACTTCAAGTTGAGGAAGTCCCTTCAACATTGACTTCCGCATCATCACATCTAGCTTAAAATAGCTAATGTGACCGAGCCTCATATGCCACAGGTCAGCGGTCTCATTCCTTCTCGTCTTGTCTACGTATGCAGTTTCAGCAGACATCACATAGACGGACTCTAGACGTTGCCCCTTCAGCACTGGTTCTTCATTAATCTCTAGGTCTCGGTACACTTTTACATCTTGTGGACCAAATAAGACATAATGGCCAGAAGAGGTTAATTGTGAAACCGAGAGGAGATTTTTCTTCATACCTGGGACATGATAGACCTTTTCTAGTGATAATTCTTTACCACCAGACTGAGGAGATACTGTAGCGTTACCGATGTGTGCTATCGGTAACCTTGAGTTATCTGCGGTTACCACCACACGATTTCCCTTGTAATCTGCTAAATTCTCCAACTTCTTTTCGTCACCGGTCATGTGATTCGAGCAACCTGAATCAACAATCCAGTCACTTCCATAGTCAATCTAACTTGTTGTGGCAGACAATGCCACCTCAGCTTCATCGGCAGCAAAGAATGCCTCAGCATCCCACTCTTCCTCTACTGTAGAAGTGGCGGTATTGCCTTCTACAGTCTTCTTCTTTGACCAACAGTCTTTTGCCATGTGTCTCTTTTTGTTGCAATTAAAACACATTCCTTCAAACTTTCTTCCTTGTTTTTGATTTTTCCAAGCTCCACCTCCACGACTTTTCCTTTCATTTTGACGGTCCCTCGTCTCTTCATCACTTTTCTTAGATCCACCAGTATGCTGCTTTGAATTATGTCTTCCTCTGTTAACGTAGAGTGCCTCTTCTTCTTTCTTTAGCGAGACTCCTCCCATCTGTTTAGCTAACGCCTCTTGATCAGCTAACAGATTTTCAAATTCAACAAGTGATGGTTGTTCTGGCCATCCTTGTATAGCAGCAACAAAACCTCTATATTCAGGTTTGAGACCATGGATGATGATGCATCTTATCCTGGCATCTTTGATGGCGGCTTCTGGATCTAACTCAGAAATCTCCCGACACAGCGTTTTCACCTTGTGAAAAAACTGTGCAACCGTCATTTCACGTTGTGAAACAGAGAGTAACTCACTCTCCAAAAGTTGGAGCTTGGAATTATTCTTCTTTGAAAATAACCTGGCTAGTGAAACCCAAGCTTCGTTTGGTGTTCCAGCATCTCTGATGTGCTCAAGGATCTCTTCTTCAACTGTTGTTTTCAAGGCAAACAATGCTTTTCCTGCCTTGATCTTCCATTTCCGTAAGGATCCATTTGCATCCTCAATGGGTTGAACCACCTCATTACCGTTGACTATCTCCCACAGGTCTTGCCCTTGCATGTAAGACATCATGCACGTTGACCACATATTATAATTGTTATTGTTGAGCTTCTTCATACCATTGACAACTTGTAGGTCCGTCATTTTGTTGACAACAAGAATTCTCACACAGCTATAATATGTGATCTCTCACAAATGAATGGCTCCGATACCACTTGTTGAAAAAGAAAAGATGAGCAAACTGAAATCTGGAGAAAGATTGATAATTGAAGGAATGAATAATACTCTTTTTATTACTGATAGCGAAAACTGATGAATAAAAAAGTAGAACAACTAAGCCTATAAATAGGCTACATGTAACAACCAACCTTAGCTAAAAACCTGGAACTAATTAAATTATTATATAAACTAATTAAATATGAGCCACATAAAATAAGCACCCTTGACTAAATCTATCTTCTGATCCCACAAAAGTAGGTCAGCCACAAACTGTCACTCTCCTGATGCCATAAGAATAGGTCAAGTGCAAACTATCATTCTCCTAATCCCATAAGAATAGGTCAACCACAAACTGGTGTTGTTATTTGTTTAATAGGTAGGGGGTGTGTTCGGGTCGGGGCGGGGTGGGGGGTTTACCGGGGGGTTAGGGGGTAGGAACCGTCAATTTTACGAACGGGACACCGGAGCGCCCCCGGGTCATCCCATGACAACATTGGATTCTAATGTCATTGGAGATTTAATTAAATTGAAAAATCTAAAAGATTATTAAGAGTGAGATTCAAATCCTTAACTTATTTATACTACATATAATATGCTAAAAAGATACTCCATATTTCTAAGAGAAAAGAGAGATCGGCAATTTAGGTTGCTTCCTTTTAAAAAAGGAAAAAAAACCAAATCCACAATTTGAGGATGAGTATTGAACTCTGTATTGCAGCAGAGAAGTCAATTGTATGTACACTAACTTTTGTGTTTAACACACTTACAATTGACTTATACTCCGTACATAAGTTTATTGTATCAACTGTATAATCTATTTTAGAACGAATGAAGTAAGTGATAAAATGATTGTCGATTTAATGAATATAATTTTTCTTTTGTTATAAAAAAAGTCCACTTTGTCAACAAACAAAAAAAAATACTATCTAATCTATAGAAGTTTCTACTTGTGACAATTTAAGTGACACGGGTTAAGTGATATTTCTGTTCTTGCGCGTTTAGGAATGTTCCTGATCGTTGCAAGCATTTTTCTTATTGCCCTCATATCTAAATCAATAAAAAAATTAGGTTTCAAAAAAGAAAATCAACAAAAAATTAAATACGGAGTATATCATAAGGTTCACAATAGAAATGCTATTTAGAACACTAGAAATGAGTTTGAAGTCTCTCGCTTTAAATTGGGCTTCATACCTTCTCTATGTCACATCAGTTTTAATCTACTTTAACTTACATCACAATTTCATTGGATTAGGTTTGAAACCTAGGGTCATATGATGGGGCTTCAAACCTTTATTTTCTTAAATTTTTAATACACATTTTTTAAAATTAAATTAATAAGATTTCATTAGTTAATTGAATTTAAAGAACAATAATTTATTAAATAAAAAATTACATTCAATAATAAATAACATTAAAGTTAAAAATTACATTTGATGGTGTAAATTTCACCGGGTACGAAAAGTAGGTAAATGGGTCGGATTAGGGAGACCTAACCAAGCAAATAAAAATAAGCGTAATAGTAATGAACACAACAAAGAATCACATAGACCGGGGAAAATCTCCTGAGTCTGAATATATTTTCTTACTCTATTTCTAAAGTGTACTGGGTTTAATGAAAGTAGTAGTGAATGCTCTCTCCTCTCTCTATCACAGATTATTTATAGAGTATAGGAGGCTCAGTAGGTGCATGGAAACTGCTAACTAATTAAGGACAAAAAATCAGATAGCATCCATCACCATGCAATCAAAATATATTGATTGAATACAGATCTAGAATGGTGCCAACGGACTTTTCCACACTAATCTCTTGAGTGACGGGTGTGGCTCCCTTTGCTAATCGATCTCCTAGATACTAGGGTTTGGGGTGGCGGATTCGTCTGACCGTGATATATAGGTCGAAACCCTCCAGCAACTTCTATAAACTAGCTTCCAAGGTTCATCTTTAAAGACCGAAATCGTGACCGGTCACCTAATTCCAGAGGTGACCGGTCACCAAATATCACCCCCAAAAGTCTCTAATTAACGATCATTCTTGAAGAACAAAATTTGTGACCGGTCACCTTAGTCCGGGGGTGACCGGTCACCAAACGCCGTGCCCAAAATACTCGCCTCGCCAAGTCCGGAAAAGTAGACCCGTGACTGGTCACCTTAATTCGGGGGTGACCGGTCACCTAGTGTCGTGCCCCAAATAGTCACCTTACCGAGTCCAGAAAAGTAGACCTGTGACCGGTCACCTTAATTCGGGGGTGACCAGTCACCTAGCGCCGTCCCCCAAATAGCCGCCTAGCCGAATCCGTAAGACCTGGCCCATCACTGGTCACCCGACCTCACGGTTGACATGTCACCTCGGTACCGACGAGTACACCTGGGTATGTAATATACCCATCAACATATACCCATCAACATTAATAAAAAAACTAAAGAAAATCATATTTAGCCTTGATCTTGTTTGTCATCTCTCTAAATTCATACGTTTGAAACACATTAACGTATCAAGGTTGATTTCCATTATTTCCAGCTCCTTCTCTTGCCTTTGTTTCTCCCTCTCTTCTTCCCTAATATTGAACACCCGAAGTTGTTCCACCATTGCTAGGCTGATATTTTCGTGAAAAGAAATAGAGCCAGACCCTGTAGAATCCGAGACAATGGATTTTCCCTTCTTTAATCAGATCGGCTGTGGAATGGGTCCTCGTCATCGGAGTTGACAAAGTTGAAGAGATGCCTTTGTTCTGACAAGCCGATAGTGTCATCGGTCTCAACCTAGGCATAGTATCTTTTCTGTGACGATCCAGCCTCGGGGTTGTTGAGTTGTTGCCATTTTAGTGAATGACTTAAAATTCTCCAAAGATCGACAGGGACATTGCCTTGGTGTCCATCGTCTTGATACCGGCGGTGGCTTGCTGTAGAACATCGACTTCGTTTATGCCGTTTTTCTAGGACCAGGAGCATCCCTCGTAAACTGCAATAAACTTTTGAAGTTTTCGGTTAATGTTGCCCCATTTTGAAGTGAGTTGTTCTCGGGTTCGGTAGGAGGCGTCTTTTTCATCGCCGCAAATAACTTCTCTTCAATACAGTCTCAAATCGCATCCTTTGTTTGCTTAGAAACTTTAAGAAATATATAATTGAATGAAAAAAATATTTTGACACAAATATATAAAAAGAACATATATACAATATATATTAAAAACATATAAATTTTACCAACAATAGGATGCTTCGAGACGTCAACCAAAGCGGACGCCAACAACGATTCTTCCTCAGGTGTCCACTTTTGAATGGACTGCGCCGCCTCGGTCATCAGCTTGAATTGTGGTCTTCGGTTTGTGACTCTTCCGGCATGCACTTTTTTTGGTGCACTTGGTTCTAGTTGAGTCTCTGGAACTGACTCCAGGTTCTCTAGATTCACCGAAGTTTGCGTTTCAAACAGTGCCAGATTACTCCCGTACGTTTGGCAGAGCCATATTGCGTACTCGTTTGGCTGAAGACCGAACGGAGTAACGGAAGAACCGAAAGGATTCATGATAAAAAGAGGAGAAAAATATGAAGAATTCTTATTTTAATTTGAACAAGAGAGAGAGAGAGATTTTGTTTGTGAGTTTTATCTTTAAAAAATAATTAATTTATAGAGAAGAATTTTTTTTATTTGTAATGTCATTCTAGCCGTTGGAAGGGAGGGGCCCGCTGCCAATTTGTCCGTTAAACATTTGACGTAGCGATGATAGCATCCCGCTGCCAAGGGGGCGATTTTTAACGCCCCTCTCGCGCTAAACAGACGATAACGCCCCCCGACATTACACAATTACCAGTGGTCTTAGAATGAACATAATTACTTCGTATTTCATATTTTTACTTCATTTCCTAATATATTGTATGCAGGTGCTGCTTATAAACTGGTCAAAATTACTTATGAGTAATTTTTAACTCTAGGTAGATTGATAACATATTTTTCTATGCTTACGTTGATTTATTTACAAAATTATCCATCATCATATATGAATATTCTCAAATGACTTATGTATCATTTAAGTCATTTTACTTCCATGAAAGAGTATATTTAGTTTATAAGCAACTTATAATAAGTTAAACAATTTATGAGCAATAACTTAATAAATACTTGCACAGAGAGATACCCCAATTGTCCAATTATTAACGTAAATAAAGTATAAATTGATACGGAGTATAATATAAACAAAATATTTCAAAAAATTTAATATTCATTTAAATATCTCTCCTCTTATTATTTTTTCCCAAATCTAACTTTCCTTTAACCTTTTCGTATTTTCCAACTTTTTTCATTTTTTCAAACATCTAATTTCCTCCTACTTTTTTTCAGTATTTTCCAATTCTTTTTAGGTTTTGTGAACTCCTTCCATTTCTTTTTAATTAATTCTTACTTGTTTCTTCTAGCTCGTTCTAATTTTTTCATCTTCTCCCAGTTTTTTCAAACTTATTTTAATTTCTTTTAAAAATATGACTCGCTTCTTTAAGCTCGTTCTAATTTTTTTCATCTTCTCCCATTTTTTTCAAATTTATTTTAATTTCTTTCATATTCCGACTCAAATTTTCTAATTAAGAAGTAGGTAAATGTTCTAACCTATAATAGTGCCTAATGGTTAGAGGTGACAAATAAGTCAATTAGGTCAAGTTCAACCATTTTGGGTTTAATTACATCGGATCTAGATAAGTTGGGCATGTTCATGACCCTGTGCCAAAGAGTTCATGTGGACCCAACATGTTATAAGCTTTATTTTTAGAACATTTTAACTTCACTTTAGTTCCCATGACATTGAGAACCAATGTCATGGGATAACCCGGTGTGCTCCGGTGCCCCATTTGTAAAATTGACGGTTTCTACCCTCTAACTCTTCAGTAAACCTCCCACCCCGCCCCGATCCGAACACGCCCCCCACCCCCCTTCAATTGCACTCCCAAGTTGATTTTGATTTTAGAGTCAAAATTTGACTCTAAAAACTAAAAGAATATCAAAATCCATTTATAAAAGCTTTTAGAATAATTTATTTTGAAATTTTAATTACTTCGTACCTGTTAGACATATTTAACACTATTAAGGATAATACAAAAAATTAGATATATACCAATTCTGAAGAAAAAATTGGATAAATATGTGATATCATTAAAAACTTAGAAAGTACAAGTTTCTATACTAAAAATGAGTAATAAGATAAAAAAATAAAATAACTTTATTTTTATCACGTTAGTTTTTATATTTAGGTACATGATTTCGAAAAACTCTTGCATTAGCGGTCGGTTAAGAATTCAAATTTAGTCCAGTTTGAGTGTTTGACCCATTTTTAGTGGACTATTTCGGGTTTAATTATTTTCTGATTCAGTAGTCATCTTCGAGTTTGTTCGATAAAACTTTATTCAAAACTCAGTATTTTTGGATCGAGTTTTGAATCAAAAGCAGGTTGAGTCAATTTTTGCACATCTACTAATAGTGCGTCCAATTCATTACCGAGGGTTAGAATTTAATTTTGATTTTCTTACATAAAAAAGGAGAAATTTAGTCATTACTCCAAAAGAATTCATCATTTTACACTAATACTCTCAAGTTTACTAAATGAACTATCATTTCAATAATTCACAAATATTTATGATATTATTCCCTCCCTTCACCCCGCCACTTCACTTGCTTAATCATTTGTTGCATGTATTTTTTTATGTGGTGACAAGTTTTTTTACCCTTACTTAACTTGGTTTGCAGGTTACTCCCTCCGTCTGAAAATATCTTCACATTTCTTTTTTTGATATACTTTTTAAGGATAGATTTCAATAATACCCTTCTATTTTATCACTAATCAACTTTTTATTGCTTTTTTAATAAGGGAAGGAGATTAAAAAGTCTATAGTATGTGTATTTTTAAAATTTTGGCATTTTTTACTACTGCTTAATAAGTGTGTCAAATCAACACGGATAGAACATTTCCGAACAGGCCATTAAGTTAGAGTTGTCATGTCATAAACAAAAATTACAAAACCTTATGGCAAGTGATTAAACAAGTGATGTGGTGGGAAAGTAATATCATAAAAATATGTAATTAATCATACACATTCTTTTTTTAGAAAACTTTTTGTGGCTCACATTTTGTCTTTCTCTACATTATTATTAGGTGTTCAATTTCACTTTTCTTAAATTTCGTACCAAGTCAATATGTGAGTATTAATTTAAGACGGAGGGAATAGTAAATCTCCTAGAGTAATAACCTAACTTTTTCCTATAAAAAGTTGATAGAAGCTTCTAACAAATTTAAAAGTGACATACGAGTAGATATTATTTCTAACGCGTCTGCCCTCTAGTCTTTACTCTACTACTCGCCGCCACGTCATATTTTTTTTCTTTTTAAATTTCTCTACTCTTCCCCGTTTAAGGGTGTGGTTCCCCTTTCCTTTCCATTTTTTTCCCGGATTTTAATATTATTTCACAACACTTAATTTATATCAAATTACTTAAACAAAAAGTTTAAATTAAATATTTTTTATTATTATATTTAAAAGTAGATAATAAAAAGAAATTAGAAGTACATTCTTAAAATAAAATTTTGTTGAATTTGTTTTTCTAAGACTTTTTATACATTCCATTAACCAAAACCCCAAAAACTTAAAATTAGAAAGAAATTAACAAATTTAAAACTAAGATAAAATCTTATGAGAATTTCTTATTTTAGGCAACGACTCTGTATACCACCCCTCTGGAATTGACCTTATATCCTACGAGTACATTCTATCTTGCATTTTTTGTTGTTGTCTTAGTTAGGTGTGGACAAACGGGTCATGAAACTGTGAGTCAAAACCGAATAATAAGGTTCGGGACGGGTTAGAGCCGAGACCAATGTTTAAATATTTAAAACGGAGTGGGCCAGTTCTCAACATTTAAATTAAAATTGATCCTAACCCGGTAGCTTGTTTGAAACCGGCCGATCCCCGGAGCGGCCGGTTATAATAATATTAATTAAATTATTAATACTACTCCGAATATTAATTAATAGTATGACTCAATGGACCTCATGCTAGTGGATTTTTATCATTTATGAAGTGTGAATGTCAAACATCTTCAATAAAGTGGCATTGATAATTTTGTTTTTTGATAATTGAAGTGGCATTGTTATAACTACTGGTCTGTAAATTTCCAAAAATAATAATAATAATTCATTTGTACTTAAGATGCCTAATTTTAAAGCTACTTCCAACAAGTGTAGTTCTGTTTTGAACAAGACTGCATTTACATCTCCATTAATTATACTCTGTATCACTTGTGGACGTGGGTGATCTGATTTGATATGCCGTATACACTAATAAACCTACAGATTTACTATACTTTGGACGTGTTTGGAAATAGCATTAGCGTTTTGGATAAAATTTTAACGGTACAGATTACTTTGAAAATGCTAACGCTACACGCCGCCCGTAGAAAACCTTTTCAATACGCTAACGCTATTCCCAAACAGACCCTTTATTGTGTTCACTTGGAAATGCAATTAGGAACATGTCTTTTTTTATACAAGGATTATAATACACTCTGTATTTAGTAATATAATGTTTGGACCCGTATGCTCGTGGGATCGGCCGGTTTCAAACAAGCTACCGGGTTAGGATCAATTTTAATTTAAATTTTCAACGACCGATCGCGACACATCCTTTTTCTGTAAAAACAAACAAGGTTGGGGTTTGTAAAAATCGATCCAACCCGGCTTGATTGATTCATTTTGTTTTTCATTGGGAAAAGTCCATATAGACCTTTAGAACCTTGAGTTCATGATAATACTTCTTTTTAAATTTACCCGTGTAATGTCTCACATTCCATATTCAGAAATTAGAACTTAGAACCAACATTTCAATTCATTACTCCTTATGTTTCAATATAAAGAAATCTACATAAATAACAACAAAACATTTAAATTTATATCAAAATAAAACTTTCTATGTTTTTATTTTTAAATAAGAGCTTTGACACTACAATGTCATAACCTGACACGATATGTGGACATTTCACACTATTTTTTGGCATTATATATCGATATTTTTTTGTCATTATAAGTCCTCTTTAAGTATAAAAATATTAAAAATCCTATTTTAGGATATTGAATAAGAGTATATTTTAATCCTAGTTAGGTAACTTTCCTATGAATATATTCGTCCACTTATCTTTAACTAGTCAAAATCTATAAACATTGACCATTATATAATTAAAAAATGCATAATAGATTTAACTGCAAATGACTTTCAAAAAAACAAGTTGTAAGAACGAAACAATCAAACATTTATCCTAGTATTCCTAATCAATTTGACATCAGCTTAAGTTGCCAAATAAAATCTCAATTGCTCGGTGGTTCATGTTTGTGGTAATTTTAATTTGGAAACCTATAAAATCAAATAAATTTGCCCACACTAGACTGAGAAAATAATGGATTGATTGATCAGCAAAACTATTTAAATTCTGTATTACTGAGTAACAAAAACCATTGAGCACTGGCTCCGATTGAAAGATCACTGTAATTATTAAGAAGAAACGTCTTCTCTATACCTCTTGAGCGCGCTCCTTCGATCATCAAAATGGCGCCTCCCTTGTTGCTGCATCATCTCATCATGTCGTCTCTGGTTATTATACCTGCTCTCCGGTTCAAATCGCCTCCTAGAGTAATCATCTGGCTTCCCTAGGCGAGACCCAACATCGCCAAATCTTAGCCTACCGATGTCCCCCAGATGAACTCTTTCTTGCCTCAAATGGTTGCCCGCGAAACTTCGATCATCAGTCCACCTAGGATTCTGGTCCCGGGTTGAAGACAAAAAGCCTTCTCTTCCGCGTTTGGAAGCATGGGGCTTTTGAAATGGGACTCGTGTTCTAGAAGAATCAGGAGACATGCTTCGTCTTGTTCTTCTTCTCAGAGTCCCCTCTCTTTGTGAACCAGGGCTTCTAGAGCGCGAATGAGATCTCCTAGGTAAAGAGATATGACCCTTCTTCATGAAGACCCCGACAATCTGTTGGTGGTTGGTTCTTCTTCTAAAACCTTCCCTCTCCTCTCTATTGATTCCTCCCCTCACTAGTCTACGGGGAACATCAAGACAATCATCATCCCTGTCAACAAATGTCCTCCTTCCAACAATTGACCTTTTGGGCAAATAACCCATAGGAGAATGTGGATGATAGTGGTGAAGGTCAGTTTCAAAATCGCCATTAGAAGTAGCAGAATGTCTTCTCCAGGTAAAGCCATGATTCTCGGAGTCATTATATCTAGATAAATACGGGCTGTTCCTGGAGCCCCAATTGCCTTTAACCACATTCTTGCCCCTGGGGTAATGAGCAGAGAAGTATCTTCCTTCTGGGCTAAAATCTCTTTTCAGTCTAGGGTATGAACCACCTGCCACATGGGGGTTCCTGAAAGATATCAGCAATTAACTTAGCAAGTCTGGATTTGAATCTGAAAAGAGCTACTACCACCCCAGCATAAAACGTCTTATTTGACCAAAACATTTATATTTTTGAGTAGAGTACAGTTTAAATAAATCTAAATTTTTGGTTAACCTGAATTTTGTTTATGATGCGTTATCATGTTTTCAGCTTTTGTAACATTACATATCAATTAGCTTCCTTTGATCAAATAGGACATTCTCCAACTAAAAGGGGGCAAAGGACTAGAGAAAACATAAACACTTGTTTCGACAAGTACCTGCATTTCTCATCCTTACTTTCTGTTGCATCCAAACACAGCGGGACTTCAATGTGTGACTGCAACCTACCCTTGTGTGTGCGTGAACCAGTTTCTTTGTCAAATGCCTCACAGAATCCAAGTGAGTCCATATTATCAGTACCCTGCCCCTCTCTCGGGTCAATATTTCCCTCCATGCTCATGCCAGCATGATCTGCTGCACCTGATTCATTCTGCCTACCAACATCGATAACATGGGAGTCGCCTGTCAAGGATTGCTTGGAGCAAGATTTCAAAGGGCTGGTCTTACCCAAATCTGCCTCTCGACATATGCTAGCAGAGGATTTTATAGTCTCTATACCTTGTGAACTACCTTCAACAAGTTCTGTATCCTTGTGATAACCTGAAGAATGCAGCAAATCATCTCCGTCTGATCCATAGTCAACACATTCCATCTCATAATCACCGTCATTTTCCTCCCATGGAAACAAAACTGGTCCTTGTAATTCCCCATGTTCAAAGAGAGAGTCATCATTACCAGCCTGAAATCCGGGCACATATTCATTATGTTTAACCAGATCGCCATGTGAAACATCTGGATTGTTGTGTGCATCTTCTTCAAGAGATGAGCTCATCCTGAACTTCATGGACTGAGAAGCAGTATCATCAGTATGTGGTGGTCCCGGGAGACCGTGTTTTTTCAAGTCTTGCAGACTTTGATCCTCATTGTTAGAAGAACAGCTGTTAGCAGCACAATTGGGAATGGGTTCCTTATGTTCAAACTGCACACCAGAATCGGTTATAATGGTAATAGGAGCAGAAACAATATCCTGTTTCCCATTCACTTCACCAGTTACAGATGATGCAGAGGCTTTTGATGCAGATTCATCAGAATGGGGAATCTCACGTACTATAGCTTTAAGATGCCCCATATTTGAAGCGGAAATCTCCTCCACACAGGTTGCATTAAGAGAACAAACTGTCCCACTCTTATTTTCTTCTGTGTCCGAAAGCAAAGGTATACACTTCTCAACATTGTTATTATCTGGAAAAGTATCAGAACTCGAATGGTCTTTGGGAATGTTTGTCTTGACTTCTTCACTTCGCTTTTCATTGTAAATGACATTGTTTGAGACATTACTCCGAACTGCATCATCATTGTTAGGCTGCTCCCATGAGTCCATTGAAGTATTAAGGTCCCAATACTGTCTGTCAATTTTTGGAGAAATGGATCTTACGAATTCCCCGTCTTCTATGCATTCACTAAGATCCTCCAAAACAATTGGGAACTTTTTATGAGAAGCAGCACATTCAACCACCTTGGTGTCAGGAAGCATTTCTCCTCCAGCTGAATCCAAATTATTATGTTCTAACTTCTCGCTAGATGTATCATCAATGCCACTAATACATGCAGCTGCTGCCAGAATTGCGATGCCTGAGGAATCTCCACCTTTGTAATAACCCACATTTGTGACCTCAGTCAACTTATCATCCATGATGTTTCCCTTGATGACACTAGGAAACTGCCCAATGGAATATGAGTCTGAACTCATTTGACCTAACAACTCAAGTTCTTCAGATTGTGTAGGCAGGAAAAATTCAGAAGGCACGGCTTCTTCACAACAACTAGAAGGAAGCTGACAAGGCAATGAAGATTGAAGCAAGTGCCTCCTTTTCTTAATTGGTACGTGCTCAACGTTGTTAGAAACATGATGCCTATTGACAGCTTCGCCAAACTGACACAAAAGGTAAGTGTCAAAAATTATGTTTCATGAAAAGAGCAATCAGAACGAATAGGTTTTAAAAAAACTGATACCTTATATGAATCAGAGCATGAGAAGTCTCCTACCCTCTTGGGACTCCTATTGACCAATTTTACATCACTGTTAACGCTTCTAGCATTTGATTTCGTAGTTCTCCTTCCTTTGCTGACCATCTTCCAACTTACATCAGGAACCATAGACTTTGTTTTAACACCCACCGGGTAAACCATATCTGCATATAGGAATGAATAACTCTCAGTGTCTGAAGTCAAATACTGTATTCAATTCTATCTTGATAAGAATATTCATGAACACAAGAATCCACACAGGATAACCTGTAATTGTAAGTAAAAAAGTAAATAGAAGTTTCACAAGAATTCCACAGGCACATACATATATATAAACATAAATATATAAAATAATTCATATCCAACTGAAAAGTGTAAACAAACACTGCAAGAACAATCCGCCTCAGGCATCTACCTTAACGCAGATGGAGTTTAAAAATTAACACATCCAAATTCCACTGGTTCACAGTGCTGTTTTGAAATAAATCCTTTGGGATCTGGATTTCTTTTGATCAGACTGGCATGACAAATGTTTTGACATCCTTACACGAATATGTTAAAACACATTCACTTACACAAGCAAAAGACGGAAAATGCTGGGCACATGGATCATCAATAGTACATCAGAAATTCAAAATAACTAAAATGCAATCACAACAAGAAGCCTCATCCTCCATCAACTACAAAATCCAATAAAAGAGGAGAGGAAGAGCTTTAAATCATAACATATCTCCCAAATGAAATCAACCTTGCGTAAACACCTTCATAGATTTCCACCAAGTTCCAACAGCATAAAAACTTCAGTTGCATAAAGTGACCAATAAGAAATAGGAGCAGGATAACCCCATAAATCAGTAGTGGGCATTTTAGAGCGGAGACTATGCGCTACTTCCTACTTGCAGATGTTACGGATCTATCACATCTCTGTCTATAAGTAAACAAGAGATAACACATTCTGCAGTTCTGTCGGAGCTCTTCCAGCAGTCATCGGCTCACGACATCAAACATATCATCCCATAGAGAAATGGAAACCCCCTTGGACTACATATTTCAAGTCATTGTGATTTAGCCACCTAAGGCTGCTATCTAAAGGTCTGAGGATGATGTAACTAACAAATTTGCTAAATTTAGCTTCTTGTGATCCAAGTCTTGATTTAACCCCAAAGATCAAGAAGATCCCACACTTTCAAGAAATAGATAATCCTTCTAAAAATAGAAACACCAAGAGCTGAAGAAACAACGCGATTGCAACTTCATATCGCTTAAGGCATAGGAGAAACCATAAATCATAATTATCAATAGCAAATTCTGCCTTGTTTCTCAAGCTGGATGTAGAGCCACACAAATCTCCGGTTACCAAGAGTATTCCTTCTTCTGATGCAGCAGCACCCCAGGACGAGATTGTATAGCAGGTTTCTTGGTAACCCATATAAGGAAGAAAATCGTTCTCTTCTTTGACAGTCATTGGGGGGAAACCAATAAAAAGTGTGCAAAATCATAAACTAGGGTTTTCAATACCTGTTAAAAATTGGCCACCAATCAGCAATTCGACGATTTATCCTGGGAACTCAAATTAATCGTATATAACCGTAAATCCCTCAAAACTCTAGGAACAGACGAAGAATGCTCCTTTATTTGCGATAGTATTAACAAGCTCCGGCGAATTGGGTCAGCTCTGGTATCAAGATGATCTTTGATAATCCTTGATTCCCAATCTTCCGGCGAACGGGAAAAGACCACGCGAGTAGCCAGCATTTATAGATCGCACCTTCCCATCAACGGGCCCTTGCGGGGGAATCCAAGTCCACCTAAAATTCCCCAGGATACCCTAATTGAGTAATTGATGATTGAAAAGATTTGTCTTTTGTGGGATAATTATTCAGTCAGCGCTTGGGAGGAGATAAGCGATTGACTGCGGGTTCTCGGGAGGATTGATGCCGCCATGCGGCTTATACCAAGTTCCCACTTCTAGAATATAATGTCTTGGAAAATTTGATAAAAGAAATTTGACTATTCTCCATTTTTAGTGGAAGTTGACTTTGTCTACAATTTGTCCAAAATGCCCCTAAAGCCCAAACTTTCACAGCAACTGATTGCTTGCCGCACCAAACAAACCCCAAGCACGGAACTGTCAGAACACATCGCCGCACCAAACAGACCCCAGTGGCCAGTGCGACGGATCTACTGCACAATCCGAGCAATCTCTCCCTTTCTCTACTGCGCAAACCAGGCCCAATGTGAATTTCTTGCCGCACTAATGGATCTTCAGATTTTGTAGATCTGAAAAAAGAGAGACCCAAACTCTGGTAGAAGAAGAAAATGACAAAGAAAAAAAAGAAGGGAAAAGAGACGGGGGAGATGAAGGCTAGATCTAGCCGAGAAAAGAAAGGAAAGAAGAAGAAGAAGAAGAAGAAGAAGAATAAGAATAAGAAGAAGAAGAAGAAGAAGGAGATGGAGATGGAGGAGGAGGAAGGAGAAGGGGAGGAAGATAGGGGAGGGGAAGAGAGAGAGAGAATTCACCCGTGGTGGCAAAAAAAAGCCTAGACTGGTAACTTAAAATCCGGACGGAGGGAGTATCGTTTTATATATTTAGTTCATACATATTGAAATATTAATAATTTAGTCTCCAATTATTATATTGTTTTTTACAAATAGTCCTTTGTTAACATTTACGTTAAAAACATGGGTAAAATTGTATATTCACACTTCTCTCTCTCTCTTCAATTAAGCTTCTTCCCTCCTCTCGTCCTCACTCTCGAACCCGCACTGGGTTTGAAGCTCTAAACCCAAAACCGAAGCGATTACTCCACTCTCAATAGTTCATCTTCCTGGTGGAACTCAAAATCAAAACTAATAACCTTCATGGATGAATTTTATGGGTTAGTCTCAGGAAATTACAAAGAAAACAAACATTAAAACTCATTCATGAAAGTTACTGGTTTCGATTTTGGATTCCACCAGGAAGACGAACAATCGAGAGAGGAGGGATGATTTTGGATTTGGGTTCAAAGCTTCAAACTGAGTAACGAGTTTAGGAAAGGAGTGCGAGTGGAGAGAGAAAGCTTAATTAAGGAGAGAGAGAAACGTAAATCACAATTTTATTCACGTTTTTAACGGAAGTGTTAACAAAGGACCATTCGTGGAAAACAATCTAATAGTTAGGGACTAAGTTATTGATATTTGATATATAGGGATTGAATATGTAAAAGTGTAAAACGAACCATAATTGAGTATCGAATTTACTCTAAATAGTATTTGAACTTTTTAAAAATTGTAAAAAAGAAATAAAAACCTTTGTAATAAAAGAATTGTTGTAAAGTTAGTCTCTCTATTAGTAAAGTTCAGACATGTGCACAACAGGTACGTATTATGAAAAAATGTGAACGATACAACATGTGCACAACACGTACGTATTATGTAAAGATGTGGACGATACAACGTGATATGTAAGTTTGAACTGTAGAAAAATATTTTTCATCTTTTAGTTTCACTCTCACAACGATTTTCTTTATATCTTCTATGATGATATTCTTAAATCGTAATACAATATTCTGTGAGCTTTAGGGTTGTAAACGGATAATATCCGCAACGAATATGACATATTTGAATCCAAATCCGATTAAATTTTGAGATATTCAAATTTGTATACGTATTCGACGGATATTTACATTTCTACTAGTATTACCCCGTGCGTTGCACGGCTAAATTTGAAATATGAAATCATTTAATTATGTTAATTAAAGGTGCAATTAACAACAAATACTCTGTAGATTATTAAATCAAAACATAATATTTAAAGAAATTTGAAGTTTGAAGTTTTTTTGTAAACTACATTGCTACTTTATAAAAAAACATCACATGAGTAGTACAACTAACCGTACAAAATGAAATTTACGGAGTATTTAGAGAATACTGAAATAAAAATATGCAGCAATCACTTGCACAAAAACAAATATATTAATTAAATAAAGTAAATTTAAAACTAAAAAATTTGCATAAAATTTGATAATATTATAAATCAATTAGATTATAAAATATCAAGTTGAACAATTACAATATGTAAGAAATTAGAAACAAATACATTAAAAAAGCAAATACAAGATATCAATTTTTATTGATTGCATTTAACAATTATAGTCATTTAAAACTTGGATCATTTTTATGATTTAAAAATAAACTTTAAAGTTGAATAACACATTATATTATTTCTATCGAAATAATTGTGACAATCCTACATATGAAATGAATTTTATAATTTGAGTATTAAATTCATTTTTAAACTTGGGTAGAAACTAAAAATTAATAAATGATAGTAATCCACGGGGTAGAGTGAATATTTAAATAGGCAAGAAGGGATTTGAAAAGGAAATAGACGTGAAAAAATGTTCCTTGGACTTTTCAAAGTTGATTTCCCTTCTAAAAAAGAAAATCACAATTTGATTTTTTTAGTCAAACTGTGACACTATTTTACTACAAATTTAAAGTATAGTATAATTAGTTATAATGAAAATTTAACAGAGTTGGGATTATTAAAAATGTTGTTTCGATATATCAAATTTTTTATGTTTATTTATTCAAAATTATATAATACGGAGTATAATTTATGATAAAAAGATGTCATACTTCGACTTAAAAAATTGAATTGTGACTCGAGTGTCTATTTCATGATTTTCTTCTAATGTACAAATCGCAAGAAAATGGTGAAATGAGAGAGTTCGAAAGTTGTACCAACTCTAGTGTTGCAACTATTCTCATTCCAAAAAAAAAAAAATGTAGCCCTTTCCCCAGACAATCCCAAAAAACCTCACATTCCTCATCTCCTAATGAGAAAGAGAATGATCAGCTAACACCATTTTTCTGTCAAACAAATTACAACTACAGAACCCTCGAAAAAAAATTACAACTACAGGATTTTGTATGTTCCAAAATAGATTTCACAAACCATATCAAATGAAAAACTTATCAGTTGATCAAACCAGGTTTCTTTCGTTTCTACATGTTTAAATCTATGGAGAAACAAAAGAATCACTATGCACCACGCATCTCTTTCATTCAAAGGAAAAAGGAAAACTAATAAGGGACGATTCAAAAACAAAAAAGATTTATATATAAAAAAAAGGGAACGAGGGAATATCGTTTATGCACTTGAAATTTGAAACCGGCCACCTTCAAATCCGTTCCACTTGACAGGTTAACACAATTAGCCAGCTCAAGAATCCAAACTGCATGCGACGAATAAAGGTGGCATGGATGGATACAATTAAACAAGGTACATGCATTATTATTATTATTACTTCGTATTATAATGCAGATTAGGCAAACGTCTACTCCTAACAAGCTATCTGTGCATCTCTACTTCGCAAAAATTGGTTTGGAATAAGAACACCCCCATTACACTCACTATCAGCTTTCACGAAAACCCATTAGCTGATGCTGTTATGCATTCCAGTGATCTTCATATCTTCTCCACCTGAGGATGCTCGGTTGGGGACGACTGAGAATCATCTGTCATCCAGGAACCAGGCCACTATAAATTTATATATATAATCAATCAATACACACGAGTGAACAGATAAAAACAACATTTATTCACGCCAAATTCAAAAATGTAAGCCACACTTATTGGTTGTTTTTTCCAGCTGCCAGAAAACAAGTCACAATTTCTGGGTCCTTCCAACTGAGTTGAGCTAACAGATAATGTTACCACTCATAGAATTTTAAAGGAAGAAGAGGAAAATTGATAAACCAAACCTTCTGTTTTCACTTGGGATTCTAATTGATTTTCGACAGAAGACGTCATATCAGCTGGCTGCCCTTCTTCGATGTCTTTCAACTTATTATCAATTGATTCTACAGTTGGTGATTGAGGAGAACTATCTGCTATTGCAAGAGGGGAGGTGGAAAATATTTTAAAATCTCAGTTAACAGGCTTCTCGGTAGAAATTACAGTAGAAAATGATAATTTGGACCTCACAAGGAAAATTAGAGGCAAAATGTTTATGGTACAAAGTAATATTCTAACACTAAATTCATGTAAAAATATCATAATGGCAAAAAAGTTTTATGTCGGATGCCCTTTCTGTCGCAACCTTCTTATGAAAGGAAAAACTGAGATAATGTTCGAAAACTGGAACCATAGGTTTTCTTTCATTTGCATAGAGAATATTATATTATAACGTGGAATGACGAATTTTATGATGACTCGAGATATTTGCTGTAAAGCCTGTAATCATGTCATGCTACATGATCGATATTGCAAAATGAACATGAACATAATGGAACGGGACTGAACAGTCAAACACAATAAAAATATTTCCATTTAAAAAGTCAGAGAACTAAGGCGTTATGAAATCATATCATCATCAGTGTAGGAAAGTCTGCATGGCCTTTTCTCTTTCTAAATTGATCATTAATTTTAAAAACAATGACAACTTACTAGATCTTTCATCCCAGATTTCAACACATATGTACATATATAGGATATTAATTTCCAATGTAAATACTTGCTTACTAGGGGGCTCTGTCTTAATCTGTGAATCCTTATAGACCCCACTTCGCGATGTAGTTCTATCAGTCCTGAAAGGGCTCTGATTTGAATCTCTTATGTCATCCAGACCAATTTCCTTCTCAAGTGTGCTCTTAAATTCCTGTGACACTTCCTACACAAGAATACGAGATACATCATCAGCTTTGTTTGGGAACAATATCTTTAATTACCGTTAGAATTTGAGATTATTCTTTAATGGTGTAGATTAAATTTGAAAATGCTAAAGCTAAACGCTGCCGTTAGATAGCTTTTTCAA